ATTTCCTAATGTGGACCCCGCCAAAATAATCTAAGAATATTTATTTGGATAGTCCAAATACATTAATTAGGCTAAAATAGTTTTGGCCCATTAGGTTTAATTAAAAGCATTAAGATAATTTTGGTGGGAGGATAAACATCAACCTTATTGGATAATGATGAATATTTTAAAGAAACATTAACCTTATTGGATAAGGTTGAATGTTTTAAAGATAATAATCAAGTAGTCCACATATAAAATAACTCATCATCCTTGGAGGATAAGGAAGCAATAACCTAGAGTCCTTTATGGACTCATGGCCGCCCTTCTCTTTGTCCTCTAAGGACAAGGAAACTCTCCCCTATAAATAGGAGGAGATATGCGGCATAAAGGAAGAATGACCTAAAAAGAGTATTTTTGACCAAGTAAAAATATAAGGGAAAAATTCGGTCAGCCACTTAAAATAATCTAGGGCATACGGCTAAGAGAGAAAAAAGGGAGAAAATAGTTGTCTCTTAAAACCCTAGCAAGAAATACTCTTACCTTTTCCTTTAAGGTTATCGCAAAGTTTCTCGGGATTGATTTAAAAAGAAAATACTTAATCGGAAAAGGTGGAGCTAGCACCTTCTCAATTTTGAGTGCTTTTTTGTAGATATTTGGGCTCGCGTGGATCATCGATAGATGCTTGGACACTTGGACGGCTAATCTAAGAAAAAGAATTTAGATCTAGCTGCAAAAGGTAATCTTTTACTTTTAGCGTATTATTTATGTATGTATGATTAGTAGATTCAACGGCATAATCTTATACCCTTAAATGAAGGAAAATTTTTTATTTATTCCGTACTTCTATAGGATTCATGATTCTTTATATATATATACTTGTTGTATCTAGCTTTTTTGCTTTTGGTTTCTCGGGAGCTCGTTCCCAAATTCATGTATATCTTGTATATGCTACTCATTTAGATCAAAAAAATGATATATATATATCATTTTTTTGATCTAAATGAGTAGCATATACAAGATATACATGAATTTAGGAACGAGCTCTGAGAAACTAAAAGCAAAAAGCTAGATACAACAAGTTGTTCAAGGAATCTAGCATTAAGGATTCCAAGAAAAACAAATCGAAACAATTGTTCTAGCTAATTGGAACCATGTACGAGGGCTTTACGACAAATAAAAATTAGTTGAGAAGAGACCATAAAGAATGATCCAACAACTACAAAGCAACTACCGACCAAAGCCGAAGCAACGACCGGCGAGAACGGCGGTAACGAAGCTACACAAAATCAAAAATTAGGGAGACAATCCCAACATGGCAAATCCACCATGACAATCGGACCAAACACGAGCATAAAACCCTAAGAAGGCTAGCTCCAACAAAGCTTCGAAGCCAAATCGTCAAACCCAACACTCGGTAGCCTCTAAATCCTAGAACAAAAAACCCCATTAGCTTAGCCCATTAGCCAACATTCAAGATGGTATGATCCTGCTCATGAAAGTGAAAGATCATGTAGAAGAGAACCTGGAACTTCCCGAATACACGATCGAATGAAGAGGGGGTACCATAAAAAATTATCTTGTTCCTCACTTCCCAAATAAGGTACACTATGATTCTCAAAGAGACTCTTCGCATCATAAATTCCAAATTATTCCTCCGGATAGAGAGGCCCCTAATGGCACTTGTTAATGTAGACATGTTTCTTCTAATTCTTAACCATTATCTAACCTTAGCCCACAAACTAGCTATCCAAGTACACTCGAAAGAATAAATGATGATGTGATTCTAGATCAAGCCTACAAAGAGCACGGTTGTATCTTTTAGGATAAAGTCGAGGCGATCAATAGTTTTCGGCTTTCCTTTTACCGTTAGCCATAACACAAACACATGCCTCGATAATGCCCACGGTTCCCAAACTCCTCCGGTCTAATTGATCGTCACACCCACGAGTCTAAGATTTTCATAAGCATTACAAGAGAATGCGTCTCGGCTCTAATTTTCTATTATTTCAACCACCCGAGCTCTATCCTTAAATTTCTCAATAAGTTGGTCCCTTATGGATATAATCGCTTTCCATAAGGGGAAGCATTCCTATGTGCTTGGACATCCCACACCATTTGATCTTGCAAGTAGAAGTGATGGACCCATTGAATCAAAATTGAATCGACTTTGAGATAGATATCCTAAATCTGTTTGGCAAGGAAATAAGAATTGAGGGTTTTTAAGTCACATAAGCCTAGACCCCTTTCCTTCTTCGGGTAACGAGTTACTTCCATGCAACCAAAGATGAATGACATTTGCTCACATCTCCGAGTCCAAAGGAAATTCTTGTAAATACTAGCGATACGAGAGATGACCATAGTCGGGATAAGAAAAATAGCAAGCTAAAAGCTGAATCGTACCAGCCAAGATCGATCGTATTAGCTCCGATCAATCAGCATAGGAGAGATGCTTCCTTATCTAAGATTGGACAGCCGATTCCGGACTCGCCGCAAAGGCAAAAACTAACTAGCCAGCAGCACTGTGAGGACTTAGAGGGGCCCCTAGATATCGAAATAAAAAGGTACCTTTCATGAATCCCGTATATTGTAAGAGAAATAACTTCATGTCGTTTCTAACCCCCCAAAATAAATAGAAGATTTAGCCGCATTGATAGCAAGCCTATAGGTTTTATCAAAAGTACTCGGTTATTGAGACAAACACTAAACTAATGATCTATCTCCTTAGTAAAGAAGCATAACATCCTCCGCAAAAGCAATGTGGCTAATCCGTTGAAACCAACATTTCGGATGAAACTTGAAATCAGCACTAGCGAGATGTGATCATAAGCATATGAAAAAGTATTCCATACAAAGCTATGAAGAGGTAGGAGGAAAGGGGTCACCTCGCTCGATTCCCCTTTGCTTGGAAAGAAACCAAAAAAGTCACCATTCACGGTAACGGAGTAAGAAGAAGAATCCACACAAGTCATAACCAAGTGTACAAAGGCATTCGAGAAACCAAGTCTGTAAAAGGAGATCTCTCAAGAAGGGCGCTACACCAAATCAAAAGCTTTCTTGAAATCAACCTTCAAAAGGCATCTCGAGGAAGCTCGCTTCCTACCATACTACCGCGAAGCTCCTGGAGCAGGTGAATATTATCCGACATCTTCCTCCCTTCTAAGAAAGCATTACGTATGGGACTTATAATATCACATAAAGCCCGAGCTAACTCTGGAAGAGAGAATCTTGAAAATTACTTTATACACAACATTGCGACGGGATATTGATCTAAAGTTTGAAGACGATGAGGCATTAGCCGATTTGGGAACCAAGGCAATAATAAAATGATTAACTTGTTTGAGGAGTCTCCCGGAGGCAAAGAAATCCTTCATCGCGAGCACAAAAATCAACACCAATAATATCCCAAGCTTTCTTGAAAAACAACGAAGAATACTCATCCAGCCACTAGGGCTTTATCATTATCAATCTCAAACAGAGTCACCTTGATGTGCTCATTGGTGACTATGGCTAGCGACATATCGAAACATTAGGAGCAAGACAAGGCCTACTAGCAATAACCTCTATATCAAGAGGAAGAGTGTCCCTAGATGAACCAAGCAGATTCCTATAATAGTCAACAAAAATACCCCCACGGCATTAAAAGAAGTTGTAAACTACCCATTATTTCCTTGGATGGCTGCAATGAAGTTCCCCTTGTGGCTTTGGCTCATAAGAGTATGAAAGAATCGGCCTCCCTTATCGCTATCCTCAAGATACTTGTATTTTAGTTTTTTTTCCAAAGAACATCTTCTCCGTCGACTTTAGATTAAATAAATTCGGACTCAATAGCCTTTCTTGCTCTAGAAGGAGGATGTTATCCCTATCATTATGAAGAGCCTACTGGTGGCACTCAAGGTCGTCAACTGTCCGAGCAACCCTCTCGAAAATGTGGCCGAAATGAAGCTTATTCAGATTTTTCAAAGGCCCATTCAAAGTCTTTAACTTCCCGCCCCTAGAATCACAATACCAATGCTCGTTCAACGGTCCGGAGAAAGCCCTCATGATTAGCCCACATATTGAAAAATTTGAAGCATTTATGGCCGGGAGGGAACCGGTTAGCCAACCGAACCGATGCTTGAGCATGGTCCGAGAAAGCTCATGATGGGTTGAAATGGATAAAAATAGACTCGTCGTATCGTAGACCAATGAGGGTTGGCTAAAACTCTATCAATCTTAGTCCAAACACCGCCACTATTCCATATGAAATGACTTTCCGTATAATTGAGGTCGTTAAGACCAAGATCCAAGCAACATGAACGAAAGTCCGAAGTCTCATAGCTAGATACCGTCACATCATTATGCTCGTTATCTTATGAGAGGATCGAGTTGAAATCCCCAAGAACAATCCAAGGACAATTGGGGTTCCATCTATGAACATCATCCCGTAACTCCCTTCTTTGAATAATTGTATTGTAACCATACACAAAAGTAACATTAAATCCCATCCGATGGACAAGGCTACGATCTTGACATTCGGCCCTTGTACTTGAAACATCTAAGAGATCAATCAAAACGAGTATTCGAATTCCAAAAAGAGCAATATGGGCATTAGAGGCCACGGTCCCATTGGAAATAAACCTCTACTCGCTTAAATCGAACCTTGTGCATTTGTGTAAGTTTGGGAAGACTAAGCTTGGTTTTAACAAAAGCACAAACATCCATCTTCTTCTTTCTCATGAGGCTAGCAACCTCATGCTACTTTAGGGGACTATTTAGACCCCTAACATTCGAAGTGAAAACTAACATATAGTCGTTGAGGTGATAGGAACCCCCCAGCACCCCTTTTAGCAATTCTACTCCTTCTTTTAGTAGTCACCCTTTGAGAGCTTTCAATAAAACCATTGGTCGATTGCTCTACTCTAGTAACCATGACTGTCATATCCACCCTAGCTTCACTTTCGATACCAAGTACATCATTTTCTTATCCTGCATAACAAACATTGTTTCGCCACTTAGGCTGATAGTCCCGAGCACATGGATCATCCAGGCCTACCACGGCTAACTAGATCCTCTCCAACGGCCATCATAGCAGCACCACGGCTTAGGCCAACCCCTATATTATCTTTACCGGCTTCAACAACTTTACCTTTCCTTATCCGAGCATTAGATTTGAGTCCAATAATTGCTTGATTTTCCTATCAAGTTTGAGCGTGCACTGTTCGTCGAGGTTGAGCGGGAGTATTCTGCCGATGCTCGAGCTTGGTAGTTCTACTAGGACTTAGCTTTGGCTTTACCTCTAACTCGTCTCCTACACACTAGAAACAACGGTTTTCTCCGAACACATAGGGTCAAAATGATTCACCAGGTGACATAGTGGTGTTCATAACGATAGTAGCAATTCCCGACCTATGAAATACACTCACCCCGGCTCGATCCGCATGTTTTGCCTCATTTACGACCCTTTCATTGTTCGGATTCACATTGGCCAATTGCTTACCACAAGAAGCGGTAGAGTGCCCTAAAACATGACAAATCTTGCAATGAGTAGGTAGAGTTTCGTAAACGATAGGTCTGAAGAAGAATGAAACCATTAAGTAGTCTAATTTTTATCACTCTCGGCAATTCCTCCATAATGTTTAGCTCAACTAAAACCCTCGCATAAGAAATCCGATCCATAAAGGCGATCAATCTATCATACTGAATTGGTTTACCAAGCAAGCTAGCAATTTTTGAGAGACGGAAAGTGGACCAACATTTAAGGAGAAGATTTAAAAACTTTACCTAAATTGACACTATCGACATCTCCTCGCTCGAAAAATCAAAAAACTCCGACATAGGCCTTAAAAGTAAAGGCCGACCAAAGATCAAGTACGACCTCCATTTAACACGGATAATTTATCCTCCTTCGAGGTAAAATTATAAACTAACTAACTCGAGTCATGAATAGATAATGAAGCCTCATATTTCCATGTGTTAGCAATAATCCCATTTAGGGCCCTAAATCTCGGAGATTTCTCGACAATATACCCAACCAAACAATACTTCCATACTTCACATCTCGGGTCATCATCAAGAAATATGCAAGTTTTAGTATCGGTAATGGCGGAAAAATGAGTCGGCTTTAGACATGATCCAACACTACGGTTATTAGTAAATAAATCTCTCCATTTTCCGGAATGGGGCTCGGAATTACCCGGATTGGCGGTAGGTTGAAAGCTAGGTCCGTCTCTCGATTCCGGTAGGAGGAGAGGCGGCATTTCTTGATTCATTTTTAGTCATAACATTAGAAATATGCCCACTATTCAAGTGAGGAAGAAGGCCGAGTTTGAGTAGTATTCGTAACTAGAACAACATTGTCTCTTAGACTTGGAGAAGAAGTGCCAACGAGTTGCCATTTGTGAAATTAGACTTTTTAGGAGCTTACCCAACCTTGAAATCATCTTCCCACCGATTTGTTCCTCAACACTTGGCTGATTCCTTGCCTCAACGACCCTAGGGGCAAGAGAATGAACCTTGAAAAATTTTAAGTGTGAGCCATAGTTTTCATCCAAAGTCGAACCTTCCAAGCTAACATCTTCAAAGGCTGAATCTTCATCACTTGAGCAATCTTCAACCTCCGCATGGTCAAGTGGAACGAGGTTTAGCAAGGTATTTGGACCCGTCGACCACGGTTTGGCAAATCCGGATCGAGGAACGAGTAACCATGCCGGATGGGGGAGAAGGAGGACTAAACGGGGCAGCTAGGGCCAACATCTGGATCATCTAAATCTCTCCTCACACTTGCTTTTGCAATTTTGGAACTAGATTTCTTTTTCTTCTTGGCCATGAAACAAGCTGAAAGAAAGGATAAAGAAGAAAGGGAATCGGGTAGAGAGAGATGAGAGCGATGAACGATGAATAACAAGGAACAAGAGAGAGGCACAGAAAAGAGATCGATAGAAGTTGAAAGAGCGAAAGACATAGCGAGTAGCACCGACCGGACATGAGGGAAAGTTCTCCCTTGAAGGAGAGCATTTCTTTCTTTCTCACTCTAGGCCAACTTCTACCGAGAGCTCTCTCTCTCTCTCTCTCTCTCTCTCTCTCTCTCTCTATATATATATATATATATATATATATATATATATATATATCATTAGTTTTATTAGAAGTTAACTATATATCCGCATACATAATACCAATTCTTTATTATTTATTTTTTATATTCTAAAATTTATTTTTTAAATAAAATAAGTTACATAATGTTTTAAAAGAACTTCTCAATTATTCAAATACAAATTTTTATGCTAATATATGTAATCGAATTTATAAATTATAATGATATATTTTTAAAGTATAAAACACCAACGTTCTAAAATTTATTTCAAAATTCATATATTAAAAAAAAATTATTAAAAAATAAAATTATATCAAAAAATTAATTTGTTGAGAATTTTAATAAGAAATAAAATTTAAACAATAAGAGTAATATAATCCGATATATATATTCAAACTAAAATTTTAAAAAATATCACATGTATTCTATCATCTTTAAACTATACGTAAAAAAAATAATAATAACGATTTATTTTCTATATTTTTCACACATAATTTCTTGATAATATATATATATATATATATATATATATATGTATATATATATATATATATATATATGAAGAATAACAAAAAAAAAAAGACTAGGCTTGCTAAATTGTATGAAATATATTGAAGCAATAGATTAAACTAAAAACTATAATAAAATTGATTTTGATAAATTTCAAATAAACATATATAAACAAGCAAATAAAACTTATGACTTTTTTAAATTATTATTAAATTTTTTTTAGAAAAATAAGCCAAACTATTTAAAATATACTCTAGCTCTCTCTCTCTCTCTCTCTCTCTCTCTCTCTACATACATACATACATACATATATATATATAATCATAATTTATAAATTATAATAATATATTTTTAAAAAAAACATCGACATTCCAAACTTTTATTCCAAAATTCATATATTAAAAACTCAAATTTATTAAAAAATAAAATAATAAAAAAAATTAATTTTATTAGAATTTTAATAAGAAACAAATAATTGAAGAAATAAATTTTAAACAAGAAAAGTAATATAATCAGATATATATGTTCAAACGAATTTTTTTAAAAAACATTATATATATATATATATATTATATTCAAACTATACTTAAAGCTAAAAAAAATAATGATTTAGTTTTTATATTTTTCAAACCTAATTTCATGATACATATAATCGGAATTTATAAATTATAATAATATATTTAAGAAATAAAAAAACTCATTTAAAAATCATAAAAATAATTTATTATAAATTATAATAATATATCTTTAAAAAGTGAAACAACGACGCTCTAAAATTTTATTCCAAAATTCATATATTAAAAAATCAAATTTACTAAAAAATAAAATTATATCAAAAAATTAATTTGCTTAGAATCTTAATAAGAAAAAAATAATTAAAGAAATAAATTTTAAACAATAAGAGTAATATAATATATATATGTTCAAACTAAAATTTAAAAAAAAATCATAAATATCTATTATCTTCAAACTCGCACGTAAAATTTAAAACAATAACGATCTCTCGTGTGTGTGTGTGTGTGTGTGTGTGTGTGTGTTGTGTGTGTGTATATATATATATAATCAAAATTTATAAACTATAATAATGTATTTTAAAAAATAAAATACTCATTTGAAAAGCATAAAAATAATTTATTGTATAAATTATAGTAATATATTTTTTAAAAAATAAAACATCGACATTTTAAAATTTTATTCCAAAATTCATATGTTAAAAAATCAAATTTATTAACAAATAAAATTATATGAAAAAATTAATTTGATGAGAATTTTAATAAGAAATAAATAATTTAAAATTTTAAAAATAAGAGTAATATAATATGAGATATATGTTCAAACTAAAATCTTAAAAAATATCATATATATTTAATTATTTTCAAACTGTATGTACAACTAAAAAAAATGATTTTTTTTATATTTTTCATATCTAATTTCTTGAATATATATATGAAGAAAAAGAAAAAAAAAGAAGGAAAAAAGGAAGGCTAAGCGTCGTACGGCGGGACGGTCGGCGTGCAAGGCTTGGCGCGTGGGTGCTTGAGAGCTCGGCCTTGTTGCTGGTTAACCCAACATTAAAAAAAAATAAAAAATAAAAGAACCGGGGTATCGGTTCATAACCGTTCATTTATCGTTGAACTATCTCAAATCTTTTAGTTTCTTTGGAATATAACATATCAAGACATTTTTCACTATGGCTAAGGTTTTTTTTTTCTATTTTTACTATCACAAAGCAACCTTTGGCCACATTTTTCAACCTTTGATGCAGATGACGAAGCAACAACACTTACTAAGTGTAACCAAGGCTTGCCCAATAGCATGTTATAAGTTGGGTGTATGTCTATCACCTGGAATGTGACTTCAAATTGGTGAGGCCGGATGTTTAGGTCGATATCAATCTCTCCAATCATTTGTCTTAGCTTACCATTATAGGCACAAGCCATTATATGGCTAGGTTTCATGTGTGATGCATCTATGAGGAGATGATTCAAGACATGCAATGGTACAACATTGAGGGCGAAACCATTATCGATCAATACCTTAGCAATAATATGATTTTTGCATTTCACGGTGATATATAATGCTTTATTATGGCTCGTTCCTTCTAGGTCTAACTCATCTTTTGAAAAGTAAAGGTAATTAATCGCTTATATCATTCCCACCAAATACTCCATTGATTTATATGAGTTGTCCTACAATACATAGGCTTCATTAAAAACCTTCTACGAGTGCCTTTCTATGAGATTCTAAGCTCAAAACTAAAGACAACAAGGAGATTCAAATATGAGTTTTTTCAGCTGATCTACTATGCTATAATTACTATGCTTCATTAGCCTCAAGTATTCCACATCCTTTACCTCATTCATCGGCTTTTTCATCATTTGATCGTCTTTGCTTTTGGTGCCTACATATTGATTTAAATCCTCCGGCATATGGCATCTCGCCATTTCTAATAAGAACTCCTATAGAGGATTGCATAATAGAACTAAATTCACTATTATAAAAGCTGGGCCTTGTAATTGAGAGGAAGGGCTTGATAGTTAATCGGATTGGGAGTAGTCAAAATTTTCAATACCAGTCTCGATGGCCCATTCTCTCTAAATTGGTATTTAAAAGTCGCAGTCTATTTAACTTGGAAGTCTTTATTGTTGACCATGCCAATCTATGGTTGATCATCTATTTTTTCAACCTTTAAACCCCAAAAATTAACACCTCTTAGTGGAACTTTTTACACATTTCAATATCATATGCATACGACCGATGGAACTTGCAGGTAATGTCTTGTATCTCTAGCATCCTATTTTTCCTTAATCTTTGAAACATATCCCCTATCTACCATCATATCAAAAATTTGACTCATAATCACCTTCAATGTGGATCTCATTCTATTATACGTTATATTTGTTGAAAACATATTCATATTCTCATTGTTAGCCACTATAGGATTTGACGGAGGGTTGGTATTAGTGTTGGGAGCCTCTAAGTTTCCTTCTAAGGATATCCAATTGTGTTTTATAAGAAACTTGACATATCTTCTAAAGGCTAAACAAGCTTCAATTTTATGTCCTACTCCACTTGAATGGTATTTGCATCTCTCTTCTAGTTTATACTAGTGGAAATATAATGGTTGTATTGGATTCATAGGAATATGACCAATTTTCTCAATAGCCATGAGGTGTTTAAACAACTCACTTAATAAGACAAGAAATGGAGGTAAGAGGTCTTGGTATCTTTTGTTATTATTTTGATAGGGAATTTTTTTTTTTTTTGGAGATTATTAAAGGTTGGTTAATTTTATGCTTGGTTATTTGATAGGAGTGCTTGGTATTTTTGTGAGTGAAATATTTTTGAGATGATTGACATAGCATTTATAGGGGCTATGTTTCTAGGATGAATATAAAAGCTATTTGGATGTCATTAGTTGTTCCACCACCCTCATTATTGAAAGCTAATGGATTCGAGATGGTGAACTTCATTGTCTTTTTTTTTTTTCCAAAACTTTCCCTTTTAGTGTTAACTTCTATGGGATTTGAGATTTTGCCGGATTTGAGAGCCTGTTCCACTCACTCAATGTTAACTACTGCATTATTAAAGTTTAGGGATGAATTACGATCGTGTACTCAAAATATGGTGTTTTGAAGGTGTTGAAAAACATAAATATCAACTCATTTTCTATCATAGGTGGGTGAATTTGAGTTGTTATCTCGCGTCACCTCCGAGCATATTCTTTAATAGAATCTTTTTCAATCTTCTCTAGATTCTACAATATTGTTCTATTAGGAGTAACATCTAGGTTGAATCTGTATTAGCGAATGAATGAGTCTACTAGATCTTTCCACCATCGAATCTTAGCTCCGTCAAGTTGCATATACCAATTAAGAGCAAGCACCGAGTTAAGCTCTCATGAAAGAATCGAATCAAAAGTTTCTCATCATGCATGACCTCAACCATCTTACTACAATAGACTCGAAGATGAGTCTTTGGGAATTAAGTATCCATGTACTTCGTGAACTACGGTACCTTAAACTTCTTTAAAATGACAACATCGGGTATAAGACATATTTTAGCCACTCGATCTAGTTATATAAGTCCATACCTTCGGTAGCTTTTAAATACTCCTCGATGGATAGTAACTTATCAACCTCATCAATCT